GAGATTGCAGAGTACTTGGAAGTGCATGGTAAAATAGGGCAGAGTCAGCATGGCTTCATCAAGGGGAGGTCATGCCTGACAAATCTGTTAGAATTCATTGAGGTGGTAACAAACAAGTTAGACAAAGGACAGCGAGTAGATGTGATGTATTTGGATTTCCAGAAGGCCTGACAAGGTGCTGCACAAGAGGCTGTTACATAAGATGAGAACCAATGGTATTAGGGGAAAGCTACTGGCATGGATAGAGGATTGGCTGGCTGGCAGAAGGCGGAGAGTAGGGATGAAGGGGTCTTTTTCAGGATGGTAACTGGTGACGAGTGGAGTTTTCCTCGGGTCAGGGTTGGGCCCACAACTATTCATGTTATACATTAACAATCTTGTTAAAGGAACTGAGGGCATTGTTGCTATGTTTGCAGCTGTCACAAAGATTTGTGGAGGAACAGGTAGTGTTGTGGCAGTGGGGCGGCTGCAGAAGGACTTGGAGAGGCTAGGAGAGCGGGCTGAGAAGTCGCAAATGGAATACGAAATGGGAATGTGAGATGTTATGCACCTTGGTAGGAAAAATAGAGGCATAGACTATTTTGTAAATGAGAAAAGGCTTCAGAATTCTGAAGCACAAAGGAACTTGGGAATCTAGTTCAGGATTCTCTTAAAATTAACATGTAGGTGCAGTTGACAGTTATGAAGAAAATGCAATGTTTGCATTTATTTCAAGAGGGCTGGAATACAAGAGCAGAGATGTACTGCTGAGACTGTATAAGGCTCTGCTCAGACCACATTTAAAATATTGTGAGCAGTTATAGATCCCAATCTAAGGGAGCATGTGCTGGCATTGTAGGGGGTCCACAGGAGGTTGACAAGCATGATCCCAGGGATGAAGGGCTTGTCATATGAGAACTCTGTGTCTGTACCCAATGGATTTGATGAAAACTTACAGAATACTGTGAGGCCTAGATAGAGTTGATGTGGAGTGGATGTTTCCACTACTAGAAGAGCCGAGGACCCTGGGGCACAGCCTCAGAGTGAAGGAATGACCCTTTAGAACTGAGATGAGGAGGAATTTGTTCAGCCAGAGGGTGGTTAATCTGTGCTACTCATTGCCGCAGAGGACTGTGGAGGCCAAGTCATTGAGTATATTTAAGACAGAGATACGAGAGATACAAGTTCCTGATTAGTAAGGGGATCAAGGGTTGTAGAGACAAAGCAGGAAAATGAGGTTGAGAAACATATCAACCATAATCAAATGGTGAGCAGACTCAATAGGCTGAATGGCCTAATTCTGCTCCTCTATCTTATTACCTAATAGACAGGTGGTGGGGAAAAGGAATGAGCTGATAGATGAAGATGGAACCCAGAGAGAAAGACAGTTAAGCAGTCAAAGGGATGGCTGATAGCAAGCCAGGGAAGGAGAAAAGCTGATATTGGAGATAATGAGTAGGTGAAAATGGTTTGGCTGTGCTGAAAGCAGCCCATGCCATGACAGGGCCTAGGGTCTGGGGATGGGTCAAGGACATTGAAGGAGCGAGGGTCAGCGCAAGCTGAAAGAACAGTATCTCATTTTCCACGTGAGAACCCTGCAGCCTTCTGGCTAGTCTCACCCTCTCTTTGTCTGCCTAACTTCCTTTTTCAGTGTCTGGGCCCCAGCTCCATCTCCCCGCTCACTCCTTCTTCCCCATCCACCCCCACCCACTCCCACTACCTGTCATCAGCATAAATACCACTTTTACCTAGCTACTATCAGTTCTGAGGAAGGATTGCTGGACTCAAAACATGCTACCAGACCTACTGAGTTCCTCCAGCAATTTCCACCGTTTCCTCTATGGGTGCATAGTTGCCACAACATGTAGGATCTTTCAGTTCCTCTGCATAACCGCCCAAGCTTACTTTGACACCACATTAACCTCTGCTATCAAGAAAGAGATGCACAACAATGTAATACAAACAACATCACTTAATCTTCCTGCATCACTGTTTTGCACACCATCAGTACACCAGCTACGTAGCTGAAAGGCTTTCAAGTTATTTTCACCAACCACCTACATATCTATCACCATGCACTGCAACTCAGATGATAAAGTGGCTCAGATGGTTTATTGTTAATCTGGTCATATGATACAGAGCAACAGAATCTCACAGTATTGAGAATCTAAGCAAATCAGAAATCGAGATTTTAACAGATCTTTGCTAGACTGTGTGCTTAATATAAAGGATTAATTGTCTCATTCTCAGCTAGCATATTAATCAGAAATCTCTTATTACTTAAATTATCATAGAAAGTGAAATTAGCATTTATATAGTGCCTTCTATCCTCAGGGTAACATGATCCACATCATAGTTGTGGAATTATTTTTGGAATACAACTGTTATTCAGATAAATGTGGCAGCCAATTAGTACTTAATCCAGCTATCTAGTCTGATCTTCTTTTACCTGCTCCTCCTTGCACATACGAGAAAACCTTACCCTCACAAGCAGTTTTAACTCTCTGCTCTTCCACATGAATTCTCACTACTTCAGGAAGTGAATTTTTGAACTCCTCCAAAATAATTGGCTCTAAAAGAGTATCATATGTTTGATCTATTTTAAATGCTCTTCTCCACCTATCAAAATTACTTAATTTGATCCTTTCAAATTCAACGTACATTTGACCAGGGTCCCTCCTTAGATTCCGGAAACATTGTATGTAGGCCCGTCAAGCCTGCTCTGCCATTCAATAAGATCATGGCTGATCTTACCGTGGACTCAGGCCCACTTACTACCCACTCACCATAACCCTTAATTTCTTTACTGTTCAAAAATCTATCTTTCTTTGCCTTAAAAACATTCAACAAGGCAGCCTCAACTGCTTCACTGGATAGGGAATTCCAAAGATTCACAACCCTTTGCTTCAAGAAGTTCCTCGTCAACTCAGTCCTAAATCAGGTCCCCCTCATTTTGAGGCTATGCCCCCAAATTCTAGTTTCACCCACCAGTGGAAACAACCTCCCTGCTTCTGTCATATCTTGATAATTTTATATGTTCCCTTCATAATTTTATATGTTTCTATAACGTCCCCTTCATTCTTCCAAATTCCAATGAGCATAGTCCCAGTATACTCAATCTTTGCTCATAAACCAAACCTGTCAATTCCAAAATCAACTTAGGTAACCTCCTCTGCTCCCCCTCAATGCCAGTCCATCCTTTCTCAAGTAAGGAGACCTAGGGGCAGCATGGTGGCTCAGTGGTTAGCACTGTTGCCTCACAGTGCCAGGGACCCAGGTTCAATTCTACCCTCGGGCGACTGTCTGTGTGGAGTTTGTATGTTCTCTGTGGGTTTCCTCCCACAGTCCAAAGATGTGCAGGTTAGGTGGATTGGCCATTTAAATTGCCCATAGTGTTCAGGGATGTGTAGCTTAGGTGGGTCATAGGGGGATGGGTCTGGGTGGGATGCTCCAAGGGTCGGTGTGGACTTGTTGGGGCAAAGGGCCTGTTTCCACTCTGAAGGGATTCAATGAAAACTGTAGCAATACTCAAGGTGCAGCCTCACCAGCACCCTACACAGCTGCAGCATAACCTCCCTATTTATAAACACCATCCATGTAGAAATGAAAGATAATACCATCACCTCTCTAATTGCCAACTTCTGAAGTTCAAACTCTTTGTCTTTCTGCTTTTCTTCTCTCTCTTTCTCCCTTTATTCTGCTAGGGCCTTCCTCTCCTTTTCTTTTTCCTCTGCTTTTAATTGTAATTCAAACTGTTTCATTTTCTTTTCTATTTCTTTTTGTTCTGCTAAGGCTATGCTTTTTGTTTGTCTCTAATTCAAGCTGCTTCATTTGCAATTGAATTTTAGCCATTTCCAAAGATTCTGTTGACATTCCTGGCAATTGTAAATGCTGCACGACTGCTACAACTATCTCTCCTTTCCTCGCAGACACAGGCAACCCCAGTTCCAGCTTGTTTGCCAATTCCGAAAGCTTTGCCTTGCTCACTTTCTGTAAAACTCCCAAAGTGACTTCTTCTACCTCTAAGAAACTCCTACTGACTGAAAGAGCTTTTACTACACAAGGCACACCCTGTTTAAACCGACCGAATTCAACCCCCCAAAATATATTAAGAAGGTAGCCTAGACCCTAAATTTTTCTTATTTTAAAGGTAAATGTCAGGTACTGTGTTCCAGATGCAATTCGATTGGTCAAACTACTCAACGTTAAGCAAAACACTATTTATTCAAACACTGGTTCAGAGAAAGGGTCACCGGACCTGAAACATTAACTCTGTTTTTCCCTTCACAGATGCTGCCAGACCTGCTGAGCTTTTCCAGCAACTTTGTTTTTGTTCATTTATTCAAACAGATTGGTTAAAATACAACAAAAGGAAGAAGAACTTAGAATAGCTTAACCAATTGGAAAATGTAATAGAATAATAGATATGGTAACTGTTACTAATTAACTGTTCCAATATAGTAATGTCCCAAAAACATACCCTTGACGAAAGGTAAATTCAAAAAACAGATTTATCTCTCATGCAATCAAGCAGCCCAGGAGGACAACCCCCAGGTTTTGGCTGTAATCGAGAGAGGGAAAAATAGCTTCTACTTTGATACCCCATTAGCAACTGCTGCTAAAAACTAAATTCCCTGCTTCTGTGTAGGAGCTTAACCACACCCATTTAGGCTGCTCCTATTGTTCCAGCTTTTAAAAAAACAACCAAGGCTTCAGAAGTTGTTCATCATTTCATACAGTGCTTGGCACCTTTTCCCCAATCTCTCTCTCTAAAAGAAACCAGGACAAAACCACCTCTGAAAACCAAAGCATTGTCTCAATTTGTTATTGTGCTGTTAAGCACTGACTTAGCTGCGTAAGGGGTTGAAATCATAGGCTTCTTTTTTTAAGGAGAGTTTTACCCAAAAAACCAACCTCCATGTATAACTTGAAGGTGAGACTAAAAAGTGAACCTTTGTGACTGTGAAATGTGTAAGTGGGAATCTAGTGACAATGTAAATCTTTATTTTTCCCAAATTTAGGCTCAGCTGTCTCAAGCATTAAATGGTGTGTCTGACAAAGCAAAGGAGGCCAAAGAGTTTTTGGTTCATTTGAAAAATATGGTCCAATTAATTCAGGTAAGTTCAGTGAAAGATTTTGGACATCCCATGCATGATTGCTTTGTGAAATCACAAAGTTTCTGTTGAAAATAAATGGCCAAACACTGGTATTTTCTTTCAGTGAGTTCTGCTTGCCCACCTGCATATCTTGTAAACTACTACTTCCTTTCGGAGAAGATGTGGGAGCAAAAAGCAAGTTGGATAACCGTGATGGACAGTGAATGAACTGCTCACATCATTAATTAACATTCCTGTTTATTGGCGTTAGTATGTAATTTCTGACCCCAGGCAATATTTATAGATAGACCCCTTGATACAGAGCAGCCTGGATAAGTGAGTGTAAACCAAGAACCTAGATTGGACAGTGCTAATTTGTTTCAAGCAGCTGCAGTGAAATCAAAAGTTCTGGCAACAAATCTATTTTACTAGATGGATTATTAGTGTGGGCATATCTTTGGAGAAAGGAATGCTGTGATGACTGAACTAAGAGAGTAAAAATAAAAGTTTAAAATGTTTTATTAATATGAGATAATCCACATTATAGACAAAGGGAAAATACTATAAGCATGCAACTATTTTCAATGAAGTACTGGAAATTATTTTACAATGTAATTTACTTGGACTTTAGTAAAGCCTTTAATAAGGTTCCACATGGTAGACTGATTAGTAAAGATAAATTGCATGGGATTCAGGGCCAGCTTGCCAGTTGGATACAAAATTGCCTTTACAGTAGGAGCCAGAGGATGGTGGTGGAGAGTTGTTTCTCAGACTGAAGGCCTGTGACCAGTGGTGTTCCACAGGGATCTGTACCCGATCAATTGGGCCAATGGGCTGAGGAGTGACAGGAGGAGTTTAATTTGGATAACTGTGAGGTATTGCATTTTGATAAAACAAACAAGGCCAGGATTTATACAATTAATGGTCGGTACCTGTGTAACGTTGTAGAACAGAGATACCCAGAGGTTCGCGTACATAATTCTTTGAAATTTGCATCACAGGTAGACAGGATGGTTAAGGAGGCACTTAGCACGCTTATCTTAATTGCTCAAACCTTTGAGTATAGAAGTTGAGACATCTATTGAGGTTGTACAGGACGTTGATGAGATTTCTTCTGTGTGCAGTTCTGGTCACCCTGTTTGCCATTTCTGGGCGACCAGAACTGTGCAGGGCAAGTTCATCCAGGTGCAAAATGGCCTTTTAAAGATGGCACCAGTGCCAGAAATGTCAGTCAATTCCAGAATCTTGAGTAAATGGTGAGTTAATCTGGGAACGGCACATGGTAAGATGGGGGGATTTGGATGTGATATTTGCCATAAGGGTTGACATGCCAATTAATACAGCAAATTTGGTATGATACGGCAAGAAAACTCACTCGGTCTCACAGAGAGAATCACTCCACCAAAACAATGTGACTTGCACCTAGTCAAAAAAAGCATAAAATCAAGGCCGTTGTGTTGCATTTACAAATAGTTTTTGAAGAGAATCAATGTTATAAATAGGAACAAATTACAGCAGATGCTGCAAACTGTACTGGAAACAAAAAATCTTGAAAATCATAGCAGGTCTGCCATTTTCACATTCTGATCACTTAATATGCACAATCAACACTCTTTCTCTCCCAGCTCTCCACATTCGCTCTATTGCATAAATGCTGCCCCTTCCATAGTCATGTCAGCTCTGATGAAGCATCACCTAAAATTGAATCATTAGCTTGAGCTCTCTCTATGGATGCTGTCTGACACGCTGTGATTTCCAGCACTTTTTGTTTTCAATATTATAAATACATTTGAACCCAATGTTTCTAACCTTCACTGTAGTTCTCTTTTCTGTTTTGTAGGAGAATGGTGTGGAAGTTGAGGCATGCCTTGTGGCACAATGTGATGCACTTGTTGATGCATTAAATCGCCAGAAAGCCAAGTTACTTACTAGAGTTACCAAGGAGCGGGAGTTTAAATTAAAGGTGAGTCTGTGAAAAAACAGTGATTGTGACATTGATTGCACTAGTAACAAAATAAGATCTAATAATACTTATGAAATGATAAATGCATGCAGCGCAGAAGGAAGCCATTGTGCCTGTTTGCTCTTTGAAAGAACTATCCAATTAGGTTCATTCTGCTGCTTTTCCCCATGGTGCTGGAAAGTTTTCCTTTGAATGAATGTTTAATTTACTTTTGAAAGTTATTGTTGAATCTGCTTTGCCATCATTCCAGATCCCAATGATAAACTCTGAATTTAAAAATGAAACTCATCTCTCTTCTGGCTCTTTAGCCAATGATTTTAAATCTTTGTCCTCTGGTTACTGACTGCCTTGTCACTTTCTCTCCTTTTCCTCCTTCAAAATCCTTCATAATTTTGAAGACTTCTATTCAATCTCCACTTAACCTTCTCTGCTCCCTGAAGGGAATAATTCTAACTTCTCCAGCCTCCACATTACTGAAGACCCTGATCTACGGCACCACTCTTGTACATCTCTTCGATTCCCTTCATTTTTAGGTGTTAAATCTTTAAAATTTTGTTTAAAGTCATTTTAAAATGAAGAATACAAATTGGGTTTTACTTGAAAATATTCAAAGTTTACCTAATATTGTGTTTTACAAGTTAAATATTTAAATGTTAAATATTAGTTTGTATGAAATAGCCAAATTCATTTAGAAACTGTGGAAAAGACCAATCATTAATTTAAATTAAATTGTTAAATAAACCAAATAAAGACAAAATAATTACTCATAAATCCAACGAGGAATTTAGAAAAAGTGCATTTACCTGGAGAAAAGTTGGCATGTGGAACCTGCTGAAGCAAAGAATAGTTGAGGTGCATAGCATAAATATATTTATCTACATTCCTGTCATGTTCATGTGGAGAAAGGAACTCAGGGATGTGTTAATAGGTTTGGATGAAGAGGGTGGGAGATGTTCATATGAAGGATAAACACAAACATGGGCTGGTGGGCTGAATGAAAAATATAGAAACATAGTAAATAGGAGTAGTAGTAGGCCATTTGGCCCTTAGACCTGTCCACCATTTGATATGATCATGGCTGATCATCCAACTCAGTACCCTACTTCTGCTTTTTCCCATACCATTCGATCCCTTTATCCACAAGAAATATATTGAACAAACACAATCTACAAATAGACTGAAAAGTTAATTTGAAAAGACGGATTTGAGATGCTTATAAATCGATTTGATAGCTACAAAGTGCATTTACTTCTGTTTTAATTTTCTCATTATTTCAGTTCTTCCACTTCAGAGGCACATGTGGCAAATCTTTAGACAAGGAATAGAGGTTTGGGCACAAAAGCTGAAGCTGCTTGAAATCGGAAATAAAAGCAAAATGCTGTAAATACTCAGCCAGGCATCACCTGTGGAGGGGAATAGAGATAACAGTTCAATCAGGTGAAGCATTATCATCGACCTCAAACTTTGAACTCTATTTCTCTGTATGGATGCTGCCTGACCTGCTGGATGTTTCCAGCATTAATGCAGCTTTCAGAACCTGGCTATCCAGCCTCAAGAAGGATGGTGTCACAAAATATATCTGCGTGTGTACAAAAAAAAAGTACTGTCTCAGTCCCAGTTTACACGTCACAGTTTCTTCACTGAGGACCTTAATTTTAGAATAAAAGACTGAGCCCCAACCAGGTAATGTTGGCAATGGGCTCTTTGAAAGCACTGGTTGAAAAATCATAATAAGACCATGGGGACAATTTCTGTAATATAAATACTTTGTAATGTGCAGGCACCGATTTTCATTCTCAGGCTGGGTGCCTGGAACAACCAAATTTGTGGCTCTGCAAACGTGAGCTTTAAAAATGGCCTTCCACACTCTCCATTTTCAATCTGCAGTGTAGGCTGGACTGGAAATTGGGCTGGATGACCTGGGAAGAACAGAGGAGGATATCAGTTGCCGAGTATAAACCAGAAGAACTCTGGATACTGGAAATCAGAAAGAAAAAAATAGAAGTTGCTGGAATAGCTCAGCAGGTCTGGCAGCATGTTGAGCGAAATCAGAGTTAATGTTTCAGGTCAGGTGACCCTTCTTCAGAACTGAGTTGCCAAGGTTGGCTGAGCAGAAATCCTAACTCAGGGCTTCCATGCATGTAACAATTAAAATGAAAGAGTGAAATCTAAGGTGTTGCCCCAGCTCTCACTCCTCTCCATCACTCACCCTCACCCCAACACTATCCCCATGCTCCTCCATGCCAACACATGCTGCCTGATGTCCTCTACCCATCCCTCGTGGCCAATCATAACTTTACCATTCTATGCCCCTCTACCCAATGCCCATCCTCCTCACACTCATTTACGCCCCTCAAACCCCTTTATGCCCCTCTATCTGCTTCCATGGCCCCTCATATTCCCTATGCCATCTTTTTGCCAACTCATTTCAATTCATAGTTCCAAATTTTTCCCCTTCCTCCATCATGCCACCTCATTTTGTATCCACTCGTATCAATGAATACAAGACAGAAAAAAATAAAATTCTAGCACTTAACATTCTATACTGCAGACTATTCTCTACAGAATAAAGCATTCTCAGTCATAGGACACATTTTGACAGCTTTGACAGCTCTTAACAGCACTGAGACTTGACAGGTTTGAAGCTTCTTGATTGACCTTGATAGGTTTGATATTTCTTGACTAGTCTTGACAGTTTGACATATTTTCATTTATCTTGCAAATTTAGAAACTTCTTTCACAGCTTTACACTTCCAAGGGCTATATGCACCTTTTAGGCTAAAATAACTCCGCAAAGGCTGGTGTCCCATCACCACACCACCCTCGATTTGCATGTGGAAAGTCTTTGATGCTGGTCCAGCTCCCTCAGAGCCAGCTATCAAAGTGAGCAGGATGACTGACACTCCTCTTTTTGGCTCCTCCTCAGCCATGGGTCCCTGATTGGACCAGGTTAATAGTCCCAATCAGGTAACTCATATTCTATAAGGTCCACCTGGCTCACCTCATTACAATCACTGCAACTCTCCCCTTCTGAGTTTGAGGACAGAGGCCAGTTCTTTTTTTTTGCAGTCCTGGAATTTTCTGGGAATCCTGGAATTCTCTCCTGAATGGCACTGTGGGTCAACCCACAGCAGGTGGACTGCGGTTCAAGAAAGCAGCTGACTACCACCTTCTCAAGGGCAATTAGGGATGTGCAATAACTGCTTGCCAGCCAACAATATCCACATCCCACAAATGAGTAAAAGAAAAAGCTCTTCCTGGGGCGTTTTAGCACTGGGTCAGGTTCCTCCAACTCTTCCTTGGATACAGGCAGTGTGTAATGCACAGTAGCTCGCCTGTTGCGCCCAGAGCATCTCAGAAGAAATTCATTCTCATCTTCAGGTGGCAAAGGCATCGAGGTGACGACATCCACCATGTCCATCTCAGATTTTCAGGTCTCTTCAACGCTTGGCAGAGAGGGAGAAGCCATGGGTTCCAACAGCCTTTCCAACTGTTCCAAGTTATAGAACATAGAACATTACAGCGCAGTACAGGCCCTTCGGCCCTCGATGTTGCGCCGACCTGTGAAACCAATCTGAAGCCCATCTAACCTAAACTATTCCATTATCATCCATATGTTTATCCAATGACCATTTAAATGCCCTTAAAGTGGGCGAGTCTACTATTTTTGCAGGCAGGGCATTCCACGCCCTTACTACTCTCTGAGTAAAGAACCGACCTCTGACGTCTGTCCTATATCTATCACCCCTCAATTTAAAGCTATGTCCCCTCGTGCTAGCCATCACCATCCGAGGAAAAAGGCTCCCACTGTCCACCCTATCTAATCCTCTGATCATCTTGTATGTCTCTATTAAGTCACCTCTTAACCTTCTTCTCTCTAACGAAAACAGCCTCAAGTCCCTCAGCCTTTCCTCATAAGACCTTCCCTCCATACCAGGCAACATCCTGGTAAATCTCCTCTGCACCCTTTCCAATGCTTCCACATCCTTCCTATAATGCGGTGACCAGAACTGTACGCAATACTCCAAGTGCGGCCGCACCAGAGTTTTGTGCAGCTGCAACATGACCTCATGGCTCCGAAACTCAATCCCTCTACCAATAAAACCTAGCATACTGTACGCCTTCTTAACAACGCTATCAACCTGGGTGGCAACTTTCAGTGATCTGTGCACATGGACACTGAGATCTTTCTGCTCATCCACACTACCAAGAATCTTACCATTAGCCCAGTACTCTGTATTCCTGTTACTCCTTCCAAAAGTTGCTGGGCATGTTTTGCTCCCACCCAGTTTGTGGTCCACATCCTTGTTCAGGACCACTGCATGGACCCAAACTTTATACGTCACTGGAACTGACCTCATGTCGATCATGCCACTTACCCATGCAGGGCCATTGCCGTGATTCCTACACCAAACTTTGTCCCTTGAAGTAAACTGTCTCTCTTGCTTAGCGGAATCTTATGTTCAGCACTGACATTTTTGATGCCATTTCACCTTTTCCCCACCCCCAGGTGCGGGAAGATCAGATTTAACCTGGTGCAGAGTCTTTTCCCCATTAACAACTCTGCTGGAGCTATCCCTGTAGTTGCATGAGAGGTGGTCCAATAATCAAACAGGGATTGGGACAGTTTGGTATCGAGTGAAGCTGTGGGTTGTTTCCGGAAGCCTGCCTTCAAAAATCGGACTGTTTTTTCTGCCAGACCATTGGATTATGAATGGTATGGAGCTGTCCTCATATGTCAAATGCATTCAAATTTAGGAATTAGTACAATTCCCTGCTGTTAGATGATGGCCTGTTATCTGTGACCAACACTTCCGGGTGTCTGTATATTGCAAAAAATGTGTGCAGTATCTTCTGTTGTCATTCCCGTATTTGATGAATGAACTCTATGTACATTCAGTCACTTTGAGTCGGTGCTCACAATGACTAAGATCATTGAGCCCATGGAAGGTCCCACATAGTCAAAGAGTAACCAAGTTCAGGGTTTACCTGGCAATTTC